GGTTTGGCATACAGTTTACTAATAACACTTAGAAGACTAATGGGTCTGTAGTTTCCTGGGCCATTTCTATTCCCTTTTTAATAAATTGGTATGATAATTGCTACCCCCCAATCTCTAGGCATATGGCCTACTTCAGCCGTAGAGGCACAGGGCACTCTGTATGAATTAGGAAGATGCCAAAGGTTAGGGAATTTGACACCTAGAACATGAACAAGTTCAACCTAGCATTTTAATTTTCCACTGTAAAATACAATGCAGAATTATCATTTGCAGACACATTGACTGCAGATGAAATGTGTAACGAAACAAACCTTCAAATTAAAATGAAGACTTTGTTCGAAAAAAATGTTAAGTGAAAAATAATTAGAAAGTTTATAGCATACATTGGCCAGTGATTAAAAAAATGTAGAGAGTATATTGTAACAGGCAAATCAAAGGAAGCACTACACCATTATTTTTGATAGAGGAAAATGCCTTTTTAAAAACGATTGTTTCAGAATAACCACAGATATGGTTAGAATGTTGAAACCTCAATTACTTAAATCTGCTAAGTGAAAATGAAATTGTACCAGTTCTGAAAAACTTCCACAACAACTACCTCTGTAAAGTATAAAAGCAACTAGGCATTGCATTCAATCCTCCATTCCTAAGTAAAGAATTTTTTTTTAAAATATGCAATTAAAGCAAAGGATTTGATAAAACACAGGTTTGTTACGAAAAGCATAGTCAAGATAGAGCTGGATCTTGGAGTATTTTTGTTTCATAGATTGAGCCAAACGAAGGCATACCCGAGTATAAAATTCCATGGCTCAAGAACTCAATTTTTTTTATGTAGATTCTTGATTTCATGCCTTGAGGTTTTTATAAAAATGGTAAGGTCAAGTGAATACTATGTAAGACTCTTGGGTTCTACGCTGTTCCCAGCAGAGTAATTAAAACCTTAGGCAGAAAACAGACTTCCCACAATGCCATCAAGAATTTTGTCTGCATTTAAGACTATGCTACTATAATCACAGTTAACAGTTAATGATCCAGCAGTGGCCAAATTTTGCCCATTGTATGTCTGTTGTTTCAAAACAATCATTTTAATGGGGGG